ATAAAAGCCTCATATTTATGCCTCCAGAGATTGCATATTTGACCATATTTGAGGTACTGTAAAAACATATTGCTCAGTGTTTCCTGGCTACTGATGGTATATTTGACTTTTACCCATATGAGACTACAAACATACTTAATATCAAGCATTTTTACTGTACCAATTGGAGAAATTCAACATTAAAAGTCCATATTTGTACCTCCATGTGGCATATTTTCATATATTTGAGCTACTGTAAAAACACTTTGCTCAATAATTCCTGGCTATGGATGATATATTTGACTTCTACACATCTAAGACTACAAGTATACTTAATATCAAGCATTTTTACTGTACCAATGTGGAGAAACTGAAGAATAAAAGTCCCATATTTATACTTCCAGATTCCATATTTTCTTATTTTTGAGCTACTGTAAAAATGTAAACTGTATGTGGAACCACCTGCAACAGCTGTCACACTGAATAATATAAAAAATAATATGTGAGGAAGAGACAGTAGGTACAATGGTGTTTTGAAGTTAAAACTAATTATTTTTCCCTTTTACCTACAAATGGACACAGCAGAGCTGCAAAATAAGAAGAATGTGGACTGGCATTGCATTTTGTGTGAAAAGTAAACAAATTAGAATTGTGTAGGATTTTGTGTTTAGTGTTTAGTGTTTATATTATCAAGATGTTATTAAACATTTGTGTGAAATTTTGTCATGAGTACTGCAGCATTATTGAAGTATAATGAAAATGCTTCACCCATAGCCAGGAATTATTGAGCAACGTGTTTTTACAGTAGCTCAAATATATGAAAATATGCCACATGGAGGTACAAATATGGGACTTTTATTGTTGAATTTCTCCAAATTGGTACAATAAAAATGCTTGATATTAAGTATGTTTGTAGTCTCATATGTGTAAAAGTCAAATATACCATCAGTAGCCAGGAAACACTGAGCAATATGTTTTTACAGTACCTCAAATATGGTCAAATATGCAATCTCTGGAGGCATAAATATGAGACTTTTATTTTGGCATTTCTCCACACTGGTGCAGTAAAGATACTTGATATAAAGTGTTTTTTTATTCATCAGGGGCCATGAAACACTTTAATGTAACATATTTTAATTATAGCTTACTGTTCTAAATACCTTTATTTTGAAAACCAGAAGTAAATACGCTGTTTCTCCGCATTTACATAATGCTGAGAATACTTGTACACTCGAAATTTAAGTGCGGCTGATTTGACCACGGAGATCGGACTCACGGCTGGATTGACCGCAGTCTACTAGCCTACTGTTTCTTCTCCACAGCACCGTCCTGTGAGTGACAACATCCGGTCTCAGAATATGAAAAAACAGGCCTTTTTTTCAGTTTTCTAGTGATTTTATTTTTTGTTATATGAAATAGAAAATGAAAATCGAATCATTTTTTATATTTCGCTCATCCCTTTTTGACCATGAAAAAAAAACGCCTTGTATTTCAATTTTAATTTTTATATTTTAAAACGAAAATCAAATAACCACTCGTTTTCTGTTTTTTAATACCTGTTTCTGAAAGGAAAATCCAATGACCAAAACATACACGGACCCTTGACTGGTCTGCACAGAGCCCTGACCTCAACCCCATCCAGGACCTTTTGGGTTGAATTGGAAAGTGATTGACAGCCACAGATCATGCTGCTCTTGCAGCTGAATGGGAGCAAATCCCTGCAGCCAGGTTACAAAATCCTGTGGAAAGAGTGCAGGTTGCTCTAACAGCATATTAATGCTCACGGTTTTGGAATAAGATGGTGAATGTTGAATATAGGTGAAATGTTTGGGTGTACAGATGCTTTTGGCCATGGATTGTATGTTGGTGAATAGCGTAATTCAGTTTAGATCACTCGTTCCCAACCTTTTTCCTCAAGGGACCCTTCTTCTATTACTGCATGAACTGATGACATATTTTGAGTTTATGTAAAAACAAGTGATTTGGATGAATTTTGAGCGGATTATTTCCTGTGGATATTGCATCAGAGATTAGTTTTCCTTATATTTTTAGGAACTTTTTAGACAATTCTCTGTCTGTATTATGTTTTCTTTTTTTTAATAGGCTTATTTTCTTGACAAATTCAGTGTTTTCCTCTGATTGTTATAGTAGCTCTTTGGTTGTTTTAACTGCATACTTTTCTAAAGCAGGACAAAGCTGTTAAGGCTCTGTGAAGCCTTAATTGGCACTTCTTTACTGGATATGATCAATCTTTCTTTACTGTCAGGATATGTACCACAGCCCTTTAAAGTAGCTGTAATTAAACCCCTTCTTAAAAAGCCCACTCTTGACCCAGGGGTTTTAGCCAACTATAGAACGATTTCTAACCTCCCTTTCCTCTCTAAGGTTCTGGAGAAAGTAGTTGGCAATCAGTTGTGTAACTTTCTACATAGCAACAGTTTATTTGAAGATTTTCAGTCAGGATTTAGAGTTCATTACAGCACAGAGACAGCTAGTTAGTTAATAATGACCTTTTGATTGCTTCCGACAACAGTCTTGTCTCTGTACTTGTATTATTAGATCTTAGTGCTACATTTGACACTATTGACCATAATATTCTTTTACAGAGACTTGAGCATCAAATTGGCATTAAAGGAACCGCACTAAGCTGGTTTAGGTCATACTTATCAGATCGTTCTCAGTTTGTACATGTTAACGATGAATCCTCCATAAATACTACAGTTAGTCATGGAGTTCCACGAGGTTCTGTACTTGGACCAATTCTGTTCACTTCATAAATGCTTCCCTTAGGCAACATTATTAGGAATCACTCCATTAACTTTCATTGTTATGCAGATGATACACAGTTATATCTATCGACTCACTGTCTAAAGATATAGCTACTCTAGATGGCATTACCTTGGCCTCTAGCACCACTGTCAGAAATCTTGGAGTTATCTTTGATCAGGACTTGTCATTCAATTCCAACATAATGCAAGCCTCTAGCACTGCCTTTTTTCATTTACGTAATATTACAAAAATTAGACACATCCTATCACAGACGGATGCAGAAAAACTAATCCATGCATTTGTTACTTCTCGGCTGGATTACTGCAATTTCTTATTATCAGGTTGCCCCAATAAGTCCATTAAGACGCCATTTCAGAATGCTGCAGCACGAGTACTGACAGGAACTAGAAAAAGAGATCACATCTCTCCTGTACTAGCATCTCTGCACCGGATCCCTGTAAAATTTAGAATAGAATTTAAAATCCTCCTCCTCACCTACAAAACTCTTCATGGCCAGGCCCCTTCATATCTTAACCCCTTCAGACCCGCCTTATGTTCCAAGGTTGTGAAAAATATAATAATGACTTTTTCCCATCCTTAATGCAACCAGAAATGAGAATCAATAAAAAAATGTTTTTTATCAAAACTCTTTGTTATTTTTCTTGTCCATTTCAATGGACATCGGGTCCAAACAGTTGTTAAATACCAACATCATATGACAACATCATACCTATTTTTTGTCTTATAATTGTCACATTGACATCACATGGAACATGAACTTGAACAGTTAAAATGATGTTTTTTTTTTGTAAGGTCCAAACAGTTTTAAAATATATATATATATTTTTTTTTATTATTATTTTTGTTTGTTTGTTCTGCATTTGGAATATTCTCAACTGATTATCAACTCATTCTCTTGTTCTGATGTACTGTTTTTATAGTAATAAGGTCATTCATCAATACTGGCCAATTGAGTTCAATAACATGGCTTCTGACCCACTGTCCATTCTAATGGAGAGCGATATTTGAAAAAATCCTGTGTAAGAACTTGCACTTAAACATGTGATATTACACTTCTATTCATACATTCCATCTTTCAATATTATATCAAAACTATGAAATCTTGGCACAAATATCTATAAATGTGAGTAAAACTGTTGAAAATGATCCTTACTTCGACATGTGGGGCGAAGCCCTGCCATGCCTCTCTTCCGTGTGGTGGATTTCTTTCCTACATCAACAAGCAAAGCTATACTGCCGTTTGATTGGTTGTTAAACGTTCAATTCAATTGACTTGAGGGTTCAAGCGGTGTTAAATGTTGCAAAAAGTAAAAAAGAAGCCCCTGTCAAGTGACGTCCATTGTAATGGACACCTAGAACACTGCGTTCTCTGAATGCAGGGCTACTTGTGGTTCCTATAGTCTCAAAAAGTAGAACAGGAGCCAGAGCCTTCAGTTACCAAAGATAATGCCATCATCTTTTTCATGTTCATCATCGTCAGTCACTACTATTAGTTGTTGCTGTGCACCTGTCTGTCTGTCTGTCTCTCTTTCTCTCTCTCTCTCTCTCTCTCTCTCTCTCTCTCTCTCTCTCTCTCTCTATCACCCCAACTGGTTGAGGCAGACGACCACCCACCTAGAGCCGAAGGATTTGTCCTAGTAAAAGGCAGTTTTTCCTTGCCGCTGTTGCCAAGTGCTTGCTCGTGGTGGTACTGTTGGTCTCTGTAAATAATGTTATAAGGAATTTGGTCCAGCCTTTTGTATGATTGTTAAAAAAAATGCACAATACAGACAGAATTGTATTAAAAGATCCTAAAAATATTAGGAAAACTCATCTCTGATGCAATATTCACAGGAAATAATCTGCTATAACTTCCTCCAAATCATTTTACACAAACTTCCTGCAGTTATTGTGTTTATTTGGGTTCATTGTACAGTTTATCAGTTGTTCTGTATTGTTTTTGTTGCATTGAATATGGTATGAAATATCCATAAAATAAATCGGGTCGCCAGTTTACTTAATGACAATAGGTTGGCTTTAGAGTTCTGTTCTCATACATAATGAAAGAAAGTCTTCATGAAAAAATCGGAAATTCTTGGGGTAAAGGCAGCACAGTACTAGCTCTGAAAATTACTACAGAGCTTGTGTGATGAGTTGGCAGATTCTAACCATTAAACAAGGCATTAGTCATCTTCTGTGACCTCCCGCCCACTCTGTCTGATTCTGTGCCCTCTTCTTCTTCCCACGCCCAGAAAGCCAGACTGGCCAGGATAAGAATATCCAAGTCCGGCAGTGGCAACGCCTTCATCCAGTGCAAACGCAACGGACTGCTCAACGAACTGCTGGAACTGACGGTGAGAAAGACCTCCGACCCTCCAACACCAACAGCAAAGTGGGCGCAATGATTACTGGGAAGTCTTGTCAAATGTGTTCATTAAAAATGACATGAAATATCAGCAGACTGTAATTCAGTATGAGAGATTAATCATATTGTTCCTTGTCAAACACCCTGCTACTAATTATTTTAGTTCACTGCAACTCAATAGCTTGGCTGGGAAGCAGCAACATCACATCCGTACACACACACACACACACACACACACAAAAATGACAAACAATAATTAACCAAAGGACAATTAAGAAGTAATTTAGAGGCTATAAAAGAGCAGCAGAAGTTGGAGTCATTACATTCTCGTTGTTACACAGGGCAGGGGTGATAGCAGAGGAGTTATGCCAATAATCCTTCATGCGGGCGTTATCAGTGTAATCACACAAAGTACTTTTCTTAGTTGTCTTTCAGTCCCAAACTTGATTTAATCCATGCCTGGAAAACTAAACTGGAAAGTTAGACAACAGAGTTTGTTTTTACTTGTTTGTTGTGTTGCTCTTGGTGATAATTAGATGATTAGTACATTAAAAGAGGCTGCAACAAACTTCCAAACTGCACTAGTTAACAATGAGACAGCGGGTGACACTTAAATCCCACACTCACCCAGACTCCTGCTCCTGCAAAGGTACAAAACGTTTCTGTCTTTCTTCCTCTCTGTGATTGTTGACAACATGTTCTTATGTTCTTGTCCTTTGTGATCACCATACACTAAACCTGCAATCATTTATTTTTGTGGCAACTGAGCAGCGAAAACAAGTTGTAAAAAATAACACTGACATTGTCACCTTACACCTATTTACCTTAACCTACACATCCAGCTGACCCCTAGCAACTATAAGTGTAATAGTCACTCTCATTTTGTTCTGTTTTGTTCTTCTGTTTTGTTTTTGAGGGAAATGTCTGTCTGCTAAATGCTCCACTTTCTGCACTAGTCGCTATCTTTGTCTGTCCGCTATTTGGTGCTAAGCAGGTATTGTGCATATATTATAGTCGCTTTTAAGAAATAGTTCAGCATTTGAGAAGCCAGGCAATATAGTGCTGTAGGAATGACTCTTAAAACACGGAATTGTAGCACCTCCGGTTCCCTTGTCTGTGGGGTTTGGTCAGATGCCTGAAAATAAGGTCTGTGGTTAAACCAAGCTTTACAGATTTTCCCATTTTGTTCAACTTCTACTTACTGGTCTGCCTCGTGTTTTTAACACTCTTACATACTATTCTTACTCAAACTTTCCAACTTCTAGATTCTACTTACAACGTTAAAGACATATGACTTTGATGTAATTCATTTTTACTTTTGGTGATCACATTCGCATTTCAAAAATCAATCTTGCTGAACAAAACATTTAATGTCATAAACATTTGTTCCCCACAGAGCTTATTTTCTGCAACAATCCACAATCCAGTGGAAAAACCAGGGTTAACTTCTGGGTTGGTCCTACAAAAAGACGTCATCCCTGCAGCAAAAAAAAAAAAAAAGCCAGGCTAGATGTTCCCTAGATGTTAGTTTTTATGCCAAGGTAAGCTAATTACCTCCTGGCTCTAGATCCATGCTGTTGCTACTTAAAAAACAGATATGAGGTATTGATCTTCTCATCTAACTCTCGGCAAGAAAGCAGTTGACCATATTCCTTAAAATGTCTAACAATTAATTTAAATTGCATGTCCTTCTCTTTCTCCTCTCTCTACTGCAGACATCGACCAACTTTCTAGTTGTGAAAGCAAGCATCCACCACCATGTTCTCCTTTACTTTTAACTCCTCCCTTTTTCTTTTTTTTACTTGGCACCACCGTGGAAAAATGTGTTTGGTAATGCATGAGCAAATTGTCTATATGCCTATATTGCCATACAGTCCATCACTCTTGCTTTCAGTGACACACTCCCCTCCTTGCAGATGGTTACTAAAATCCATTTGGATCTAATCGAGTCCAGTGTGAAAGCTCATGGGTGTCTGGAAGTGGTTTGAATTATCATATAAATGCCATCTGTGAGTGCTGAGCGACCCCCATCCCTCTGCGTATGTGTGATGAGGCTGCCAGAGTCCTGGTGCATCAAATTACGGTGGTGTCACTGCTGTCAGTCAGTCGTTGCGTAAGTCTGGGTTGTGAGTGAGTGGGGATATATGACAAAGTGACTGGTTCTCTCATAGCCAATAGTTAGATCTGTTGGTCTCTTTCAGTTTTCCCTGGAGACATTTACATTTTTTGACAGACATTTATTTGTTAACCAGATCACAGGCTCATTATTTAATGATAATCCTGTTAAGTTTTGCAATAACCTCGTACAGAAAGCCCTTACAGATTCATCCCTTTGAGTGTTGTTTACTTAATTCTCACTTTTCGCTTTAGAGTGACAGGATTTCTTCGGATTCGCCCTCATGGTAAACGTTTTCTTAGCCTCCAAAACACTTCACACATTGATTATTTTGCCAGACAGTTTTGGTGTTATGCACACTGACCAATCAGATCTTTGTAGAGAAAGGAGTGAGGGACAATCATGTTCCTGTGCTAGTACAGGAAAAATGGCAGCAGATAAATGGCAACAAGTGTATATGAGCTGAACACAGCTACATGAGTTTTAGCAATGGGAAATTTAGATATCCTCTATCACATTTTATGTTATATTATACTGACATATTGAAGAAAATGTAAAAAGTGCTGATGAATGACTAATACAACAAATTAAATGATTGACAAATACAAGTTATTTATTGCATTAATGCAGAAATTATATGACATTTAAATATAACCATGAAGCAATTTTGGTCATTGATTTGCAACATTGCAACAATGGTCTGATACAAGGACGTGCACAAGGCCAGACTAAAGTTGCCTGAACAACACTTGTCTTTGTCTGAGCTGCCCCACTGTTGTTGTGGCTGCATAAATACAAGTAGCTCATAATTGCTAAAGTTAGACCAAATTAAATTGCTACATCATCCAAACAGTTACTTTTCTTTTCACAAGTACCAATATCCGCTAGTCATCTAGATGGCTTAACATATAGGCAGCAGTAGCGCAAGGCAATATTGTACAACGTGATAAAAATGTGACAAGCTGCGCCTTGTTCTGAAATATTTTATTCACAAGACATCCCATTGGTTATACCATTCATCGGGGTTTGCCCTTTTTGCAGATTAGAGCCCCTCAAAATGCCAATGCAGGTCTGTGGTCTAACAAAAGTACATGAAATACGTCTTTAATACACCTAGATGAAGATGCGTCTGCATTTCTGACTGTTGACACATGTACATAATCTCATGGTGTACATCATTATATCACCCACCCGCCAATAGATGGTTGTAAACTGACTTACAGAAATAAACAATTTGAATTGGATGAAAGAATTGAAATGGAAATTCTGTCCGATCAGGCAATCAGAGTCATTTCCCTGTCTTTTAAAACAGCGGCATATTTCCAGAAGCTAACAACTACTGTGGGGCAATTATTATAACCTCATAATAAGTTTTGTGTTGTCTGTCATTCTGAGTAATGCTGAAAATCAATAAGGACTAATTTATTGTTAATATTCATTGATAACTGTGATATTTAATTCATTAGGTATGTAATGTACTAGGTGAGCTAAATAGAGACGGTCCCATCTGGATAATTATATAAACTTTAAAGAAATGTGTCTATGTCATGATTCATATCTATAACGTGGGATTAAAAATCACGTACACCATGATATATTTTCACCCATTCCTTACTTCTAAAGTAAACTGACTTCCCCTCTTCACTTAGTAAGATATAAAGATGAGATTAACTTCCTCAGTGACACTGTAAGGGTCACATTTAAGATCAAAATCAGCTTCTTTCTTTACATGAAAAGAACCTTGAACCCTGTGTCTCTATCTGCTCTTTGATAGGACCTCTTCTGCAAATCCACATATTGAGACATCAGGAGGCGTAGTATTTTCGTGCCCACATCTCTGTATTGTTCATGTGTCTGAAATCTGAATGAGAGTCCTTGGGCTGGATCACCACCCACCCAAATCCTTTGAGTAACAATGTGCGCTGTGGGGGGAGAATTAATTTGTTTTCAGTTTTCATGTTTTTTGGCAATTGTGATTACTTTGAGACTAAGCTTTATTGAAGCCCGGGCTTTGAAACCAAGTCCTGTTTGGAGAAATACCAAAAAATGGTTCCGTAAGTTTCTGTTTTTCTCAACTCTTCTGTTTTTCCTCTTTCTGAGGCTTCATATATCAATAACTTTTCATCTGCCTAGAACATCACATAACGCCCAGTGGTACCTACTTAGATAATTAAGTAAGGGAGCTGGCAAATAATACGGTTTTATAATTAATATTTTATTAGTTCAGTAAACTGAAATGAGGGTGTTCTGTTTTCAATCTGCTTGTACAAGGAACAAAACCAAAGGCAATAACAGTATTAATGGCTCAAAAGATGCACAATAGAGAAAATTAATTAGAAACAAATCACTTGCCAAGGCTGAGGGATCAATTCACACCAAGAAGAAATGTGGTCCATTATGTAACTAAATGGTTAGTAAGTCATTCGAAAGCAAGCAGCAGGAGTCGTTGGCTACCTGCTCATAATGAGAGTGAAATCAACAAGCATGAACCAAAATAGTTCAGTTTAAAATGGGCGACACAAAGCAGAACAAAAGCGCCACGTCACTGACCTTTCATTACTGATGACAAAGTCCATATCAAGGAGTCATTTCAGCACCGGGTTCACTTTGCACAGAGTGAGAGTTTAATGAGTGACGAGGATACGCCAACAATGTAATTTGTCAACATTCATCAATGTTGTTTGTCTGTGTGCGTGTGTGTGTGTGTGTGTGTGTGTGTGTGTGTGTGTGTGTGTGCGTGCGTGCGTGTGTTTGGGTGGCTTATTAAGGATACAGAAGAGGATGAGCAGAAGCTGCTGACTAAGTCCATCTCTCTGTTAGAGAGCCAACACCACCACCTACTGCACTGTCTGGAGAAAACCACTGTGGGTACAATTGAACACTTCTCTATCTTTGATTCCAACACTTTTAGCCTTAAATCCACCAGCTACATTAATGAGGTTAAAAAAGACTGAAGAATAAGTATTGTATTGTGATAATGACATTTTATACCAGTAAAAAAGAGGGAAAAAAAACTTTGGCACTGACGACTACAAGATAACACCTAATCAGACAAAGTAACCAAAGTGTGGTATAGACACTGAAAACTCAACCCTTTCCTCTTTTCTGCCCTTCATTGCTTACATTACTGTCCTGCATTGTGGTATTTTATATATTTATTTTATGACATTTGAACCTGTATTGATTGTCTGAGGTGGCCAAGTTTATTTTACACACCTGTATGCCATCTTTAATCATAACACAAGCGGTGTGGGTGTGTATTTAAATCTCCGGGGAGTTTTTATCACTGTCAAAGATGTCTATCGCTGTGACAGTGATGTTTTCCCTCTTGTGGAATCTGGGCTTCAACATCAGTCAGAAGCAAGACGCAGAGTCTTGGCAAATATGCTTCAAAGTGTTTATGTGCCAATTTGAGACTTTTCAAAAGACATTTTGTGTAAGTAGAGCCACTGACTTGCAAAAGGCTTTGGTGTCAAAAAAACAGAGATTTATATAAAACAGTGACGCTAGATCTGCTCTCCAGTCAGCAAGTATGCTAACTGGGCCATAAGCATGAGTTTGTAAAAGATATCTACTGTATATATTATGAGTAATTATCTTTCTTTGGTGTATTTATTTGTAAAATTAGAAATTATATATTGATCAAGGCATCAAGTCCCACGTGTCTGTCCTTTATTTACTCCACATTATGTTTTCCTCTCTCAGCAATAATCCCTGCCTGTGTATTTAAACCATCATCCTGTTTCTTCTCTCCAGGCTCATGAGTTTGTGGACGAGCAGATGTACGAGCAGAACTGTTTAGAAACGGTGCTACCGAATTACCCATCACGCAGCCCCTCTATATCCAGCCAGGACAGCTCTGCGGGTACCTGCTGTGGCCGGAGGGGAAAGAGAAACAGTCCTCTTCCCAATGCCAGCCTGCCCTCCACACACCAGGGCCCCCTGCAGGAGCTCAGTGCCATCCACATACAGTGTGGTGACCCGCCATTCCACACCGCCAGGTAAAAGTAAAGGACAGCAGGGGGCACATCAGAGGGTAGACTGAGGCTTGGTATCGAAGTTGTTGGCTGAATTCTGCCAACTTTGTGAGCAAAAAATAGTTTGAAATTTTAGTGTCAGTTCAACAAAATTAAAAAATACTTTTTCTCACTTGCTTCAAGTTGTGTAAACTTATTCTGAATGTTTTGGTTTTATGTGCCAAGGTTTTAAGATACTGTACACTTCAAGCATTGAAAAGTTACATCTGAAATCTTTATTAGTAGTGTGTCTTTTTCAGTAACAACTTCCCAAATGTGGATATTCAACATTTGTGTTGAAGAATTTTGATTAAAATCCCCTTAAGGTGGCTACTGTGGAATAGTTAGTTTATTCTGAGGAATTCAGAGGATAGGCAACATCTGCTTGTCTACCCTCCGCTGACTGAAGAAAAGATGAATGAAATTAGAACAAGAAACCTACTAGATCTGTATAAGACACACACCAGCATACCTCTGGTGACTCCTGGTTGTCTGTGCATTCAGAGAAAATCATATTTTCTCCTACAGTGACGTCAGTAAGTAACCAGAACACGGTTTATTTTTTCAGTGCTTTGAGCAAAATTACATTTGCCTTATTTTTTGGTGGGGGAGGCAGAAATCTCAAAACCTCAGCAGATAAAAATGCAACTGTGTGCACAGAGAGATACATTTAGAGGTAGAGAAAAAAAAATTTTTTGGCCATATTTGTACGAACTGACCCTTTAAACAGGGAAAATGTGTGTAATATACAAAACAGCCACTGGAGGGGGCAGTAGGAACACTGTACAATATAATCTGTTCATTATTTTGAGTGTCTTTCTTTAAATTTTCAAATTAAATTAGATTTATTAGCAAATAATATGTTGTCTGAACTTAATAAATAATAACTTTGTAAATTTTAACTATAAAAAAAACTATAACAAACAATGGTAGAGATATATATATATTTAAAATAAATAAAAAATACCTGAATATCATATAGGTACCAGTGGATGTCTAAGCTGCATAATGTGTAGAAATAGAGGAAAATTGATTCTAAGCGTCCTGCAAGGTTTTTGTATTTATAAACACATCAAATTTGAGCCAGTGTGTACTTGTATGTATCCTGTAGACAGAACTCCATGTGGCGTCAGGATTACGTGAAATAGCTCTTTTACAGCTTTTATCAACAAAATGTTGCGTTCACTGTCTCTGCACTGGGTAGATGTACAAATACAGTCTCTCTTGTTCTTTTTCCTCTCTCTCTAGTCGTTCCAACCTCAACCTGAAAACTGATAACAGCGGCAGGATCAACTGCAAAGGCGGCCGGATCACCACAGCCATCATCAGCCTCCCAACACCCCCGGCTTTGACTCCAGATGGTGATGGCTTGCACGGGCCCCCACAGAGAAGGCCACTCCCTCCACCGGGTCACCCTGCAACTCCAAGCATCCAGACCACATCAAGCTCAGCTGGCACCAACATCGTCAAAGTCTCTGCTCTGTGACTCTCTGGCTGACAGATGAGAACTCAGCTCAGCAGGAGGAGAGAAAGGTGGAAGAGGAGGAGGCGAAGCAGGTTACACTACCTTTATGGACGCACAGTGTCCCGTCCCACAGGGTCAACAGAAAGAACGGTGTTCTCCAGAGAAGTCACCTGCTGGTGTTTAAGAGAAGACAGATGATGTGGAGACTTTACTGAGGTAGAGGACTGTAGATATGTGAACCGAGAATCACGCACTCGTCATGTCGTGTATGCACTGTAGATACGGACAGATTTGCTGTATTTCTAATAGTTTCTAACAGCAGTACAGGTGTTTTACAGCAATTACTGTGAAAAAAGATTGAAAGACATTGTACAATTAGCATATCAGTACATCAGCAGATGCTGTCGACATACCACAAACTCACAGTAAATTTAAAGTGAATTCACATTGAAATAGTGAACAGGATATTTTGTTGACTTTAAATGTGTTTGAAGAAAGAAGAAAAGTGTTGACTGTGTTTATTTGATTGGTCTTGTTTGTGTTATGTGTTGTTTGTCTCAAGTATTTTGAGGAAAAACATAAAATTAAAATAAAAAAACATTGAAAACAGTTTTAGTTTTCTTTACAGCATCATTTGAATCTGAACCTGATGCTGCCAATATCGTAATGCTGAAATGTGAGTTTGTCGTGTCTGAGCCTGAAAAGAGTGTTTTTGCTGTTTTTTTTCATTTTGTTGGAAAATTGTATCAATCATCGTGTCAAAGACTCAAACCAAACTGTGCTTTTAAGTTGCTTCATGTTTGAATTTCTGACTGGAGATTGACCTGACACTGTTCTCATGACGTTATAGGTTTTTATACTGAGGTGAGACAAAGCAGGGATTCGTCAAAACCCTCGAGCTGACCTCAGACCCACGGTTCCTACTGAAGAAACTCATTTAAAAAAAAAAAAAAAAAGCTAAGTAATATCCTCAAACACCTGGGCACTGCAGTTTCTAGCAAATGTTACTCAAATAGTGCATTTATTAGGGACTATTTTCAGCTGTGGATGAATACAGAAAGGTTCAAGTGTCAACAGCAGGATGGCGTATATGGGGAGATAAACTACAGTACCCATGGTCACTGTCTGTGGCACATAGGAATAAGCTATATCAGGCTTTGGCTGCACATGCAGTACTTGTTAGTACATTGCCGATTTTGGTCTTTTTATGAGATTTGTTGACAATAAGAAGAATTTGGACTATTTCCAGCCTCATCCCTTAAAGTAATTAAATACGTACAATATTTTTACTAAATGAGTACATGATCCTGTTTATATAAAAGGGATTGGTGCTTTTTGTCCTGTGGAATAATTAAAAGCTGCAACTGTTGCTGCCTCCACTCGCTCGGAGTGTCGTAGGCTGAGAAGGAAAATAACAGAAAATGATCATATGTGTGTTCATCATGAGCATGAGTGGGCATTTCAGCACCACTGTCATATCAAACAACCCAACAATACGAACGGGGGCCAATTCATGTTCAATTCATCTTTTCCACACTAAAACTGACACTAAAAAAAAAATGTATTTAAACCTAATTACTGTAGTTTTAAAATAGAGAGAACAGGGATAAAATATGCAAACATAAAAATGGCTCTAGGTTTTGGCTGGAAATCTTATTTTGTCATCTCTCTCTCTTTCCCCTGTTTTTTTTTTTTCTTCTGAACAAAGCAGAAAAACAAATCAGTTGCCTTCAGTTGTACCATTTTGTGTCTTGAGTGTTTATAAACTGTCAGTGAAAAAAATACTATTCAGTATGTTCACGAGATGGCATTGCAAGCTGCAAGTATGTTTTCCCTTTGAAACACACCTGAACAAGTTTTAAATGTATTTTAAAACTTTAAATTTAAATTGATTGAAGAAGAGTGTATGCAAGCAAGTACATTAGAATACGTAGGAAACGTATAACAAAATAATCCCAACTCAGGGTCCTCTTACTAGCTATTCTTTGCTTTTATCAGCAGATTGGAGTTGTTGTCATGGAGACGGACTTGTTGAAATGCATAAAATGTGCTTAAATTTTAGGTCAACATAAGATAAGAAGTCCTAAACGTGCTTTGGATAAAATCATGACAGCTGCAGCGTTCGCATGTCAACAGATCCATCACTATGGCAACTGAGCAATCTACATCCGCTGATGAAGACCATGTGATATGGTTGAAAGCTTTAGCAAGTGGACCTTGCGTTGGGGATTGTTCGATTGTTAAACTTTATTATTAATAAGCAGTTCAATCGTGAATAATCTGAATATCACAAGATGCATTCTGACACTGAAATCAAATGATTGACAATGAATTTGAAACGACTGGTCTGGATTATGGCCTTACTCCTGCATTAATATTTTATTTATATACCTACCTGCTGCACATTGTTGCTCATTTAAAGTTAATAGACGCCTGTTGTTTGGAATAGTTTGTGACTACTTGCCAAGTGTGTTATGGTTTATCTGTATGAAATGTGTTTATTTGTCTTTCAGTTTGTGTAAACTATGGTTTAACTTCATGTGTTTTTCAATCATGAAGTACCAAGTGAAATAGTTTTGCTGTATTGGTATACTTTGTGTTACATTTCTGTATTTTGTCATGTTCTTTACGCTGCTATATTAGAAAAAATAAAAATACAGACCCTTTAGATCATTTTAATTCTCTCTGTTAATGCTGAAAATAACAAGCATCCGCTCAGTCGTGGCGTTCATAACATGGATCTCGGTTACCACTGATGCAGTATCTACACATTAGGGCTTTTTGCAATATCATAGATCACAGTCATGCTTCAACGACAGAAAGTACTCTCTCTCACACCAGTGCGACTACTGTATGATGATTACTTGTTGTCATTATGATGGACTTTACTCCAAGAGGCAACGCGTCGGTCACTTTTTTAAAAGTCTTGGCATTGCTGTTTGTGTTGTTTATCTTTTTATCCTTTTGAACTGAGCTTTTCTGTCTGTTCGCTGTGTTTACAGTACTCTGTCAGTTTATTTGTTATAATAACTTTAAAGTGTCAGATGAAAATTAAAATCTGACACAACAATGAAGCTTTGTCTTTCTTCTCGCTTCTGTCACCAACATGAAATATATATATTCATCTTGAGTTATTTTCTGTTTCAGTCATGTTTTTTTTAAATAAGTAAATGGTAAATGGACCTGTACTTGTATAGCGCCTCTCTAGTCTTCCGACCACTCAAAGCGCTTTTACACTACACATTCGCCTCTGCACCACAGCTGCCCAATTGTAACAAGTTCAAACCTGAGTTTTTCGTGTCGGGACTTTGGGTTCAAATCAGAGCACATTGGAGCTAACCCTGCCATATTTACATTGAAATGTCAATGTTGATTGTTGTTTACTGTCCCCTATAAATAAACAAAATATCAATAGTCAGATGAGAGGGAAAAAGCAGTTTTAACAAATAGCCTACACATACATTTCAATGTACTTTTAGAAGAGAGTAGTATCCATGTCATTTCTCAGATGCAGTTCTAAAGAACAACAGAGATCAACAAAATCCCTTTAATTGTAAAATTAATACTTGCAGAAAGATAAAATGACGGACTTGGCACTCAGAACGTCAGCCTGGGCATTAAAAGGGCACAAATCTTGGAGGAAAAGGAGACGCCCTAAAACTACTATATATGTTCCTATCTGCACATGTGTACAGGTCTCACTAGATGGCAGCATAATACACAATTGTGGAGTGTACAGGGCCACATTAACTAAACACATTTTTTGATATACAATAGTTGGGGCAATTTTTCATCATTAGTGAATTTAAAGATCTAACCAGTCAAACATTTAGTTCAATAGAAGAGTTATTCAGTGATCGCCTTCAACACTAATGTGTCTAAAACTCACTTCAGCTACTTACACTACTTACTGAGCACTGTGTCAAAAGTAACATTTAAAACTTTAATAAGAACTTTATGACTGTAAAATAAGAATTCTAAGTGACATTATAATCTGCTTCTTCCTTTTACATTTTCTCTTTCTCTCCCGGAAAACTGTAGGTCACAACTTTATAATGACCCATTTCGGTTTTAACAACAAATACATACGTTGGTAATTTTTTAAAGTATTGGAAATCCAATTTTGAGCAGTATATTTATCACTGTAAAGAATGTAGTTTATCATATGTTGATGATTAATGACAAATAGTGAACTATTTATTATTATCTTCAGTATGAAACAAAATCCAACCTGTACCCACGAAATGAGGAAATATTATATGACTGAACTGCTTCTGTATCATAGAGAACTCAACAAACAAGCAAAACCAATATCTAAGCGCTCAATATGATCACAAAGTCTAAGAGAAGTTATGTTTCTGACACACCTCTTAAACACCGGTTTCATGTCTTTAACCAGGTGTTTCACTGTCAGCTAACTCCCCCGGCCACATGAGTGACTCTGACGATCTTCCGCAGCTTATTAGTGGTTGTCTGGCGGATGTCATCACACAGAAGGACTGGATGACTCAAACACATATGACTAACTCAGTTTGGAGGTAAAAACCCACATGTCCAACTGCTACACAAACCAGCTTCAATGCTGGAGAAATTTAAGTTAACGTTTTGCTCAAAGATGCTATTTTATTTTGGTATCGTTCAGGATTCTGAGCACTGACAGTAGATATGTGACAGGAAAAGAGGGGCGAGAGAGGAGGGGAATGACATGCAGCTAAGGTCCCTGTCCAGATTTGAGACATCGCCTTTTACGGTCAGCCCCTAAAACCTAAAACCTACAGGCCTATATCCTTTAATTAAGTAAAAGTACTAATACCACAATGAAAAAACACTTTGTTAAAAGTAAAAGATATGCACTTAACATGTTACTTAAACCTACTACAAACTGGTTATGTCTTAATTTAGTACTGATGCCTCTATTTGACCTACATAAGCACACAAGGCCATCAGCTGTTTCTATGTAGTTATTCTTAAGGCCTGCCACCGGGTCAGATTTAGTGGGATTCCTGTTGAAATCCATTAAACTATAATTTAAGTAAAAAGTTGTACATCTAGTCAGGAAAATGTACTTAATATTAATACACATAAGTATTACAGGTAAAAGTAGAAGAATAATGTCCCCTGTGACTGTTAGACTGTTGTATATAATCATTAGATTATAATTACTGTTGCATTAATGTAAATATGGATTAATCTGATGATTGTTTTCTACTCTATTAAGAAAAATTCTGAAAAAAATTGCCATTTTGCCATCACAACAACCCAGAGCCCACAGTGACACCTCCACAATGCTTATCCAATTAATATTAGTAAAAAATACATTAGAATAATTACAATGAGAAGCTGGAGCCATAAAATGTAAAAACATTATTAAATAGGTGCCAATTACTTTTCTGCCAATCAACTAATTGATCACCTTGTCAAATTGTGCAAAAATCTCAATGTATAAAGTAAATAGTAACTAAAACTGTCAAATAATCTTAGTTAGGTAAAAAGAACAATAGTTCTTTATGAAATGTAGCTGAGTAGAAGCAGAGAGAGGCATAAGAAGAAAAGACTCAAGTTAAATCTCAGATTAAGTTCGGTATATGAGTAAATGGATGCCCCAGAAAAGCTTCTTTTAGTCCTGTAGTAACAGACCCTGGCCTTTAGATGGCAGTATATTAACATCTTCTTTCTATCTTGGTTGAAAAACACTATTGAGTTAAAAGACACATATTGTAAAGAAAACATGTTTGTCAATAATCAATAAATATTGGCAAATATTAGCCCCACATGTGTCCTTTAAAGTAAGAACAGCTTGTAGCTACTGGTAATACATTTTATACTTTATGCACTACATTAATGATGTTATTACTGGGTCCATGACAAAAAAAGTCAGTCCCTGGTTTTGTCCAACCAAAAGTCAAAAGCCCAAAGATATTTAATTCACTTACACAGAGGACTCTAAGAAAACCAGCAAATTCTAAAATTTTTGCAATTTTTGGGCAAATATGTACTTTACTCCTAACCAACCAACCACTTTATTTGGAATTTAATGTGTTTCACTGATGATGTAATACTGAGTAATAAAATAATACATTTCAGTTATTGGTTTCCTTTCATTTTTCTATTTTATCTCCTATCTCCTAGTCTCCTTGTATGACTTAACAGTTGTTGGTTTATGTATAACAGGACATTATAAAGACAGCTGACACTGATACATTATATATTATACATATTTAACAGTTTAGGAATGACATACATTGACTGAATCATCACAGCGCCTGGTCTTGTTTCTTTTAAATCTAAAACATGAAAGCGTGTCATCTCATCCAATTATTCCTACCACTACAGTACAGAGAAGTGTAGAGATAACTACTCTCACATGAACAGTAAGACCATTAACAGACCCGATGCATGATTCAGATGAACTTTAAAACAGGGTTGAATAGTGCTGAAGTCACGATTACCTCTCCATTCACACTGATTCACTTTGGCTGGTGATTCAACATATTACTTTGTGACAACTCCAGGTTTTGAATATCAATTACAAAATTGCAGATGGTGGGAGCATCACAGTTTTTCAAGAGAAATCAGTCATGTTTTCATGCACCTGTTTCATGGTGCTTTAATGTATTACTTTGTGTTCTGTATTGTTTGGTTTTCCTTGCTGAGTTCTGTGTTTTTAACGTACATACTTATTGTCGAGATTGTTTTGTACTGTTTCTTGTGTAATTGGTTGAGTTTTATGTATTTTTAAGGCCCATCTAGGGGCAGATATTGCAAATTAGCTTAGGTTATACTGTAAATGTTGTGGTGTTAGACATTTCTTTATGCTACATAGTTGCTTGCAAACCACAGATAAATGTGCAGAACCTACCAGGCTCTTGCATACTCGTGCCTGCAAGTATGTTCTTTCATTGTATTACTGAAACTTGTCAAAATTAATGCGGAAAGGAGAGGAAATCATCTTGTATTATAAAACACAGGTTACATGTTGCAAATTTGGTACGACAGGACCCAGATCCACAACTAGTGGTGGGCAAAGAACAACCTTTCTTTAGTTTTTCAACACAGTGTATCACTGAATTTTGTATGTATCACGCAAAGCAATCAAATCGATGTTTATAAGAGGATGTTTGATTTTCTATTCCTGGACTCAAAATGAAAAAATTCATTGTTTCCCAGACCTCATAGAGGAACAAATCAAAACACATTTCAGCGTTATAGTTCAGGTTTAATCTCTTCTGCAGCAGGAATCTGTTGCAGTTTCTGTTTACAACCAAAACACTGGCAGTGCGTGTGTTGTAAGTCACAATATCACAGAATGGTTTCATTCCAAAGGCAATTATGTTTTGTCTTCTCCTTCTGGTTTGATTCATTTTTGGCCTAAACACAAAAAAGTAAGCATAACCTAAGTCATAACAGTCTGAGTCACATAAACAATGATAATACTTTCTGTCTGCAGTGATGTATAGTTAGACAGTTGCTGTGTGCTGTGTGCTGCATGTGCTGCAGTGCTGAGGGATCTGAGGAGACACTTCCTCCCAGCTGTCAGCATACACATACTGGATCAGGAAGTGAACACGTGCAGATGAAGCAGCTGCAGGTTGGGGGTCACAGGTTGGATGAAATTGTTAAACAGACCCACGTGTTACCATCTCACTCTTGATTGATAAAGATACAGATTGCAGCATCTTCACTCTCACATGGGCTGATTTAACCTTGGTGTATGTAAGATACATTTATGTCTGCAAACAATATCTTTACATTCTTTCTCTCTCCCTTCTTTTTGTCATTTTATTAACTAAAGAAAACAAACAAGAAAACAAATTAATTGATGATAAAAATGTAACAGCAAGAGCGCAGCATCAACAGACAACACGATTAACAAAACATAAATACAGTATATATAAAAATAAAAGGGAAGAAGGGCTGGGTGTTTGTGTAGTCATAAAGAGACATTGCATTTGGCAAGAAATACAAGACATTTGTGAGTAAAAGCTCAAAGTGAATGCAAAGTGTGGGAGGGATCACTTACTGCATCTGAGAAGTGTTTCTCTTTAATATTATGTTGATAAAACAAACTGCCATGAAAGATGTTCATAAGCTGCAATCAAAATGACACTGAACAAACAGAAATATATAGTATATATTATAAATCTGCAGTATGAACACAGCAGAAGACTCTGTTATCATATCAGCACTTTGAATATTTATTTATTAAGTGACACAAGCAAGTTAAAGCTCTTCCTTAAGGTGAAGTTATGCTAAGATGATTCATTCATTTGCCCTGTTTCATTGCTTTTGGGATCTTAGATTCCTTCTTTTTCTCTCTTAGCATCCGTCCATCTGGGATGCATCACCAGCATCAGGCCTGATATTAAAACTTCCAGATGACAGAAGCAGGTCAGAGGGTACCAAGTTTCCTGACTGTCAGCTAACGGAGAGAGGAACTGGATGAACAGGCAGAAAAAATGGATTTGGATTTGGATTTGATCATGCATGCGATACATTATATGTAACGCCATGGACCGTATATTATGAGCAGTACAGAACACATTACATTTTCCTTTATGTAAACATTGTAGTTGTGTCCACAAAGTTCCCTCTCCATTGTCTTCCTTCCTTTTCTTGCAGCACAGTAACTTTATGGTGAACGCTTTATATTCTGCAACCTTTCAGAGATACTATATGTTTAATATTGTGAAGGCGGGAGTGACAAACAACTTCCAGATTGGGTTCCTTGTATAAGCATGCTCTTCCTTCCCTTGCTAATAAAGTATTATATCCGGGTCACGCAACAAAAGCCTGTGGCTCAGGTGTTTCCTCTCTGACTGCAGTGAAGGTGGCCAGGAAACTGTCCCTATGGCTCCTTTCATGACACATATGGTTTCTTTTAGACACATCCTCCTTAAAACTTCCTCCTTCAGTCCAACAGTGGCTGCAGAATATGCCAGTGTTATGAAATAGAGAAAATAGAGAAATCTACTTTTATTTATTTTTTTAAAGTTACCCCAACTATCTGATCTTTAAGCCTCGATTCAAATACCTCCAGATGTTTTTGCCCTTTTCTTCATACATCTGTGAAATGATTACAAGCTGCTGTATTAGTCCATAATAAATGACCGATCACGGTTTTATCTTGAGTTTGAATGAGACTGAGTCCGTCTCACTCATTGGAGGAAATTGGATGGGCAACGTAAGCGCTCCTCTTGAATGGGAAAACAGCCGAGGGGAGAAAAAAAACGAGCTGAGCAACAGAGATACACACGAGCAGGCTGACAGCAGCCACTGAGACGCGCACACACACGGACAGAGTCTCTTCATGCAGCCAGGAGAAGACCTCATTATAATTTTTTTGGGGGGGGAGTAAACGCGTTTTCGTCATCAGGAGTTGTTGTTTTTTTTAATTACAGGATTCGCGTCATTACAAGCCTTGCGCGCATTCCTCAGCAGGATTTGCGCATCTCCAATTGCAAAGTGTTTTTTCTTCTCTCCACGAGAGCGTTGTTTTTAATGTTCCTGCCCAGGAGGAAGCTTTCATAGTCATGTTCGAGCTGCGACTGGCGAAGCGTTTCATCTGAAATTCTTGTTATTTCCAAAGAAATAATGGAACAACAGCTCTCCAAACCAGAATGCAAAAACATGGATGCGTGTCTGAGGCGACTGAAGCAAGAACTGGTATGTTCCGTTGGATCCACAGTACTTCTACTATTGCAATCAGCTCTGAAGGATGTTGTTCTACTTTATAAATGTGCATTTTAAACATGTGGCTGGTTTTTAATGTGCAAAAAAATATTAATTAATTTCTCATAAAACAAATATTCAATAGAGCTCCGGATGTTTTACATATCCTGACAGATCTGTCTCATATTCTAGTTTTCAGCTTCAGTTGTGTGTGTGTGGGGGGGGGTATTTTTTGAATCGCATTAATCTGTGTAGGTTTAAAGCTTTGAGCACAGCAGAGGCATGTGTATATATCCTCCTCCTCTATGTCCACGCATCTGGGACAGATGTTTTAAGCTTAATGAGCTCAAGACAGTGTTTTCCCTATGCAGGACTGTTGTCAGTCTGATGGTTTATAAAAGAAGTAGTTGTAGGATTCACAGTATTTTGATATGTTGTAGTAAATTGTGTTCTAATAGGCTAGACCTGAAAGACTGGTTATTATTCAGCAGCTACTCTGACAGCTGAATAGTGGTTTGCTTTACTTTTTATTTCTTATTTTCTGTTTTATATATCATTGTAAACTGAAGATCCTTCGAGTTTTGGACTGTTTATAGAACAAAACAAGACATTCGAAGACCTCACCTTGAGCTTTGGGATGCTGAGACAGGCATGTTATAGACAAAACCAATGGATCAAGAAAACAACCATCAGAACAATCAATAAAGAAAATAATGGTTAGCTGCAGCTCTGCAATAGACTGCTGTGAGGTCTTGCTTTCAGAGGGGAGTGAGTGAAATTGGCAGTCACAGTGAGTTTCATCACATTATTATGCCCTATATGAATTTGCCAGTCTCTCTTATTTAATATATTCAAGTCTCTTCTCCTCTAATAAACAAATTTGTTTGATGGTAGCAAATTTAGAGCGCTATCTCTTACCCCCGTCTTTGAAATGTAAAAACAAAATGTGTGAGCTGCACCCTCACACCCAAATCGTTTGGCAGTGACACTCTGTACACCCATTTTCAAAGGAGCCTTAACTGGCACAGACTTCATTTGGAATCATCTTCAAAGCAGACACAGATTTTTTTTTCTTTCTATCCAGCCACTGGCCCACAGAAAAGCCTCGCACGGCTGCGTGTTTTGCAACATGATCTGCTCTGTGACTCCTTGATTCGGTTCTCCAAATTAGCCACACGTCTGTGAAGTGGCACTTGAGATTTCAGGGGAGTAGACGTTGATGCCAGGGGGACATGTTGTGTTATAGCTGCCATATCACAGTTTGGTAACATAATAGAAAAAGTGGCGTGCCATGCAGGGGATCAAACAGGAGAACAGAGAGCAGATGCCGGTTAAAAAGCCGAGACTCTCCCCCTGCACAGGACCATGTGGGATGCAATCTGTTGTTCAGAAAACAAGGGGAGTCTGAGCCAAGGTTGTCACTTTTCTTTCTACTGTGACGGCTTTTCATCCAGTGCTCAGTGGAGAGTGGTAAACCAGCTCCATCTGCAGCACAGAGATCACAAACATCTAACATACGACTTACACCTGTGATGCATAGTCGAGTTCTTCGATATCACTTGTGACTACGCTGCAAAGACTGAGAGGACCATACCAGTTGTTTTGCATGTTTTAGTTATTTTCCTACAAACCACATATGCATTTAATGACAGATTTTGTAAACCATGCTGCTTTGTTAAAAAGATTTGAGTGTATTTATTGTTTTAGGAAGCCATTGGTTTCCATTCGACTCTGTATTGTACAAAAGTCAGTTAGCAGACTGTTGAAACTTGCTTCAGTTGTGTAATCCGTCACACTCAATATCAAGTCTCAATTAATTGAGTCAAAGTTACATTATTGTGATAATGCATCTTAATAACAGATTGATTTGACTGCACTTGGCACAATAATGTAACTTTGACAGTAATTAATGCAGCCTCGATGTTCAGTGTAATAATTCCCCAATTTAAGCACTATCAAGGAGCCTGATAATTGGACTGAATTGCCATTTCATTTTACACTGACATTGTGTTTATGTTAGCGGTTTTCTGTTTGAAAGGAGCTGTTACCTTGTCCCAATCAGTAGTGAGTGACTTATCCATTCAGCCGAAGTCATGCTGACTGGACAAGGAAGCTATGGATTTGGCGTTTTTTTTTGCTTTTAACAGTTGCTGGACAGGGTTGATCTCATCCACACTTCCACAGTCCTCTCTTTTTCTGTCTCTATATTTCTTTCTGTTCACAAGAACATGTTGTTGTCATTCTCAAACCCACCATCAGTGCAGAGAGACTGATCACAAGACTGACCTCTTTGAAACAGTGATTCAGGAGTCTAATTGATACTTTATGGGAATGGATGGACACTAATGGCTGGAAAAACACATGCAAAGACCAAAAACTGTACAGCATGCATTTGTAAAAGGAAATCAACTTTGTAAAGCACAGTAGATGTTTAAATAAGGAGTGGAAAAACACAGGTATGGTCCTTTAAATGTTCACCTTGATGCAGTTAAGCAGTACTGGAAGTTTTCTCGGAGAAGGGAAAATTATGTTGTTTAGTGTCTTTAGCACTATTGAAATGTGACCATGGCATTCAAGGCCTGTGTAAAAGACTGTGTGATCTCAATGCTCCACAACCCCAATGCACTGTCAGCTCTAAAAGAAGACGAGTGTCATACGAAAGTGTGTGCTCTGTGTCAGAGGTCGTGAGGGTCGGTCTGTGTGGGGTAGTGTCAGGTCACGCTTGAACATTTGACCCTTAACCCAACAAGGTCTGGGGCCATTCGTCCCAACTGCCGACCACATCCAACACACCAGTGATGCTAAAACTCAAACCTGGCAGATATGTTTTCAAGTTTAGGAATGTATCACCGTTTTTCTATCTTTACCCTTGAGTTTGTCAACACGCTGCTAGCTTCCATTTCTTCCTTTAAAAAGCACAACAAGGCTGCAGAGGATATAATCGTAACAATGAAATATTTTTAAGTTGCATGACTCATTATTCATACAACAGACAGACAAAGAGTCATGAGAAAAAAAAACATCATAAGCCCTTCCTGCCTACTTGCAGCCGAAGGTGCAAACGCTGACATGTCTTTGAGTCATCTTGTCTAAATGTAGGGTTCACACCTGCTTAACACCACTATTTCAGACACTGAAGCGTAAGTGAAACCCTTTGATGCCATCACTGCTGAAACTGATTTCATATGCATCATACTGCTTTATCCCTTCACACCTGAGGCGCATTTCCAAACATGACTGTCACCTTGGAATTCAACACCAAAGCCAGCGAGCATGAGATCATGAAATCGGAGAAAAACTCACACAAGTGCCAAAGAGTATTCTGGAAAGCTCGTGTGCCTCAAAGTTGCAAGATCTTTGTTACCTCTTTGTTAACTGTACACAGCACAAAGCAGTGTGGTGGTTTAACTTTAAGCTCGTTTGTTTGGTGCCTCCCTCATGGCTCCTATTCTCCAACCTGCCCTTCCTTCCCCTCGGCTAAAATTGGCCCAGCTCTCGGGGGCAGCTGTGGGGTTTTGCATGGGTGATCATTGTGTTTAAGATGGAGCTGCTAACCTTTCACAAAGCTGTTTTATCATTATGGGATCACGCACGTAACCCTGCTTTATCATAGTTCACAGAATGGAAATTATAGCTGAAGACATTTAAGATTTATTGTTTCAAGAGACAGTTGAGTGGTCAATTGTACTGCTGCTGTAACCACACGTGTGACCCCGCTGGTCTGGTCTGAGATCGAGTTGTGTCTCTTGCTCACTTTGTTTGCTTCATTTGAAGGAAAATATGTGGATTATTTCTCAGGGGCATTGCTCTCGCTGAGGTTTAGGTCAATATAGTGCTCACTCTTCATGTCATGTCTTTGGAGCCTTCAAATTACATTTTGGCTTACATGGTTGTCGGTCTAAAGAAATTGGATTTTTGGAATTGTTCTGCTACTAACATGGAAGAAGAGTTGTGCATGCATTAAAGCAGCACTTGGGGGCAGTTGAACAAGCTACAAACAGAGCACTTAGTCACTCTCCTTTAGTCTCTGTTTTTGGTCACCACTCCTGAGAAAAACATCTCTCTCTTCTGTTGCTGAATGCTCCACTATGTTCACCAGCTAGTAGATTTAGATTTAATCTATCTGCCATTTGGTGCTGGGCAGGTAGCACACAGTAGGTTTATCAGAAAAAGAACGGTGAAAGTGAACCAAAGTCATGTTGTGGGTTGTAAAACCTAAACAAATGAGCTGAAAGGCTGTAAAGCAGAGGTTAACTGCAGATTTAGATGATAATTCTTTGAGTGCATCAATACAAGCAACCCCTTTCACATGACACGTAGTCATTTGACCCACTGTATATATAGAATATTACTGGGTGCAGCTTTAAATTATTTGGAGGCATACTTACTTCCAATGTATTTATAACTGCACTGGCATGCAGTACACACTCGAAATTCCAAAATGCTCCGTATGCTCTGCAGATAAGTAAATTATGATGACATGTACAGTATATACATCCATACATACTATGAGTTGATAATGTATAGCATTAAAGCGTATAGAGGCACAGTCACTCCCAATAAATCACTGAACTCAATGAGCTTTCAAATGCTCATAGTCCTGCAGGAAAATCAAGCCACTCATCATCAAACTTACTGCAATCACGCTGCTTATGATCCTTGACTAAGACGGGGGAAGGATCTGCAAAATGAACGTCACACTTGATGTTAAAACTGTGGGCTGGAGAACTGGCTGTGCGCTTTCACTGCCCACACTCAAGGTGCTGACGTCAACTGCTGAGCTATCAAGCATCTATCTAACGATCATTGCTTACAGTAAAGATTTGCAGCCAGGAAGACAACAGATTGTGTCCCAGACTGTCTCCGAATATCATCAGCCAGAAGATGAAGATATGGACCCTAATCATTCTGTGTTCGTTTTGATTTGTGTGTTTTTTGATTGTAAATGAGCTTTAGCAGGAAACAAACTATTAAACCACCTCCCTTCTCTGTAA